TTTGGTTGGGCCAGGGTTGGGCTGAAAGTGGCCTAAAAAAAATTCAATTCTGATTGGTTCTCGCCAGGGACGAGTTCTGTAGGACGCCGTTCTGTTGTGAGCGGATGATTGCAGCGCATTCTCGCGTAGGATCCTAGTCAACTCAGAGGATCCTTCCCCCCAAACCTCGACTCATCCATCGCCCGCTCCAAAAGTAGTTAAGCCGGAGATTGAAAAATAACACATAAGGCAGCTGAATTCTTGAAAAATAACTATATTTTTGGCGTTTTTCGACCCCTTTCGACAAGGAAGGGCCCGCCGCATGTAATAGTACGGTGAAAAATTCGATTTTTTGCAGTTATACGCGATCCTACGGATTTTAATGAAGTCCAACAACTGATTACAGCAGTGAGTTGCGAGGATCCTACGCGAGATAGCAGCACACTTACCTGCTCACGAATTTTTACATTGACTCTTACGGGAGTCCAGGGTCCTATAGAACTGGTCCCTGTTCTCGCTCATGGAGGCCGAAACGAGTGCACCAAGATGGCGGTACCTCGAATGTGAACAAGAATAATGAAAATAATACCTAATTGTGGTTTATCAAGAGTAAATTGTTATTTCCATCGGTCCAAAATGAAAATAGATTAAGAAATTATTCACAAACCAATCTCATTTTCTTTTTACTTAATTGATCAATTTTGTTGATGTTGTTGTTTTTGGATGACACACATCGCAGGATTCCTTATCCTTATCCTTCAATATCGTTCGTTTGGGTGCACTCGTTTGTGCTTCCATGGCCAGCCAAGGCCGGCTGCCAGTCAGCTGATAATCGAGTTGTCTTAACTCTGGGTATAAAGGGACTCTAAGTGGTAACAGCAGCTTTTTATAGAGTAACTAGCCGTGATTAGCTTGCTTTGCGAGCTGACACGCCTATCCGGGGAGTGCCCCTGGACCCCCGGTTCTTCGCTTCGCGATGAACTTACGACTCAGTCCGCGAACCGCCCCCGCCCCATATAGTTTTTAACTTTAATGAGAAGACAACATCTTCATCTTCATATTATTTTTAACCAATCTTCACAGAAATCGATGGTCCAGGAGCAAAGAACGCATTATAGAGCGCTGCCGCCATCTTAGATTTTGTAAGGTTGAGAATCTGACCAAAGATTCGAGTTCTCCGTCAAAAAATACCCTCTGTTACCGAGTTTCACGAAAATTGAAGGCGAAGAGGAGTCGAGATGGCATTTTAGACCACGGGCGCCATCTTGGATTTTGAAATTTTGAAAATCTAAGCAAAAATTCGAGTTACTCGTCGGAAAATACCCTTGGATTCCGAGTTTCACGAAAAATCGATCGAACAGGAGGCGACTTAGCTTCTTCGGCCACAGCCGCCATCCTTGATTTTGAAAATCTGACCACAAATTCGAGTTCCCCGTCAAAAAATACACACTGATACCAATTTGCACGAAAATCCGCCAAAAAATACCTCCTAAAACCTGACATTTCGTCTACAAGACTGTGTGACGTCACGAAACAGGATTGAACCTGCTCGGCGTGGTGTGCGTAAACAACCGCGTATCCCTAATGCAATACTATAGGGAGAAACAACTTTTCGCTGTTGCGGGCGTCCTAGGCAGCGGATTGGAATCGGAATAATTTTGATCAACTCCTAACGACAATAGCTAAGCGTTTACCAGGTTTACACGAAATCGCTTCGGCCAATTTTTTGCTAGGGGGGGGGGGCAGAGTGAGTAGTAACAGCAGCTTTATATAGAGTAATAACTAGTCGTGATTAGCTCGCTTTGCGAGCCGACAGGCCTAGCCGGGGTGTGCTCCTGGATACCCGGTTCTTCGCTTCGCGATGAACTTACAACTCGCTCCGCGAGCTGCCCCCGCCCCACGGCCCCACATAGTTTTTAACTTCAATGAGAAGACAACATCATCGTCTTCATCTTATTTTTCATCAAGTTTTACAGAAATCGATGTTCCAGGAGCCTTGACTGCATTATAGAGCGCGGTCGCCATTTTAGATTTTGAAATGTTGATTATCTGACAAAAAATTCGAGGTTCCCGTCGGAAAATACCACCTGTTATCGAGTTTCACGAAAATCGATCGAACAGGAGCCGATTTAGCATTTTAGGCCACGGCCGCCATTTTGGATTTAGAAATCTTGAAAGTGTGACCCAAAATTCGAGTTTCCCTTCGAAATACACCTCTTAATGCCGAATTCCACAAAAATCGATGGATCGGAAGCCGAGATAGCAATTTAGACCACGTTCGCCATCTTGGATTTTTTAATTTTGAAAATCGGACCTAAAATTCTAATTTCCCGTCGAAATATACCCCCTAATACCGAATTTCACAAAACTCGATCGATATCAGGAAGCGATATAGCATTTTAGACCACGGCCGCCATCTTGGATTTTTGAATTTTGAAAACCTGACCGAAGATTCGAGTTTGCTGTCGAAATGTAACCTCTAATACCGAATTTCACTAAATTCGATGGATCATGAGCCGACTTAGCATTTTAGGCCACGGCCGCCATCTTGGATCTTGAAATTTTGAAAATCTGACCTTAAATTCGAGTTTCCCGTTGAAAAATACCCCATAACACCGAGTTCTACGAAAATCGATTGAACAGGAGCAGACCTAGCATTTTGAGCCACGGCCGCCATCTTGGATTTCGAAATTTTGAAAATCTGACCGAAAATTCGAGTTTCCCGTTGAAAAGTACCCCTGATCACTGAGTTTCACGAAAATCGATCGAACAGGAGCTGACTTAGCATTTTAGGCCACGGCCGCCATCTTGGATTTTGAAATTTTGAAAATCTGACCAAAAATTCGAGTTTTCCGTCGAAAAATACTGCTTGCCACCAATTTCCCCAAAAATCCGTCGAAAAATACCCCCTAAAACCTGGTATTTAGTCCACAATGCTGTGACGTCACGCGACAGGATTGAACCTGTTCGGCGCGGTGCGCGTAAACAACCGCGTATCTCCAATGCAATACTATGGGGCGAAACAACTTTTCGCTCTTGCGGGCGTCCTAGGCAGCGGATTGGAATAGGAATAATTTTGATCAACTCAGGACAATTGCTAAGCATGTACCAAGTTTAAAGGAAATTGCTACGGCCAATTTTTCTCTGGGGGGGGGGGGCAGAGTGAGTGGTAACAGCAGCTTTATATACAGTAACTAGTCATGATGGGGGGGGGGGGGGGCAGAGTGAGCCAGACAGGCAACTTTATATGTACAGAGTAATGACCCATGAAGCAGCGCAATGTGGGAGTAAACCTCGTCTCTAGATTACATAAAATTAGCGTATAGGATTCTCATTGCTGCAGTTGTCTGTACTAATATTATACCCATTCTCAGTTGTTATGCATAATAGGTATTTGCTCACTTTGCTACTTACGGACTTTTTGGAAATGTGGGCGGATTTCATTTACATAAAGTTTTTCAGCCTCTGAGAGCTTCCCGGAAAGAAATACTGTTGTGGAAACAAAAAAAGAAACCTTTCATTTCAAATCAATGGACCATAACCAAATGCCTACGAGGGAATAACTTTGAGCAATTAAGAGTAACATTAGTAGTTTTTTTTTTTACCAATTTCAAGTAGCCTACTTGAACTGACGTAACGATAGTGGGAACATAACTTAATGTCCATATGTAAGACCAACAGTTGCTGATGTGAGCTTACACGTTGTTAATTTAACACTCCCGTATTCAGTTTTCTGTGATGTAGTGGTTGCAATGTTGGTTCTTTTATCAGGAGGTCCCAGGTTCAACTCCCGGCCAAGCAACCCTAGAATGCTGACCTCATGGAATGGTTGCCTGGAACTGGTTTGAAGGGAGGTGGGACTGTAACTGTAAGATTTGGATTAACCCCTCAGGGGTATTTGAAGTAACGTTAAAAAAAAGTATAATATACATTTTACAGGAGAGACAACTGACATTCTGAAGGTCATGCAATTTTGTCCGCTGTACCAGCTATACCGACATGCACTATACCTATCATTCGATATCCTTGCCCTTAAAACTCAGAAGGAAAAGTATTGATGTATGGAATAAGGCAGCCACTGAATCATTCTATGCCAACGTTTCTCAATCCAAGTGTAGCACTGGATTTCGAGAAATGCAGGACTCATTAGAGGGCAATTAAACCCCCTCTTCTTCTCATGTATGAATTTTTTCATCATATTTCTGCAAGTGATTCGTTTTTCTTCTTCCAAATTCCTCAGTAGCTGAAAGAACTTTCTTGGAACGAAATCAGTCCAGATCTGCGGAAAGTACGTCATCGAGGACTTTAGTGGCATGATTTCATACTCATGCCTAGCCTCTCAATGAGGAATACAGTCTCATGGTAATATTTATGTATAATGGACCACTAGACAAGGTACGAATTTAAGCATTCTGATACATGTTTCTAAACCAGAATTTCACGTAGAACACGACTCGCGCAATGAAAATTACTAAAACCAACTCCTAACGAAGGTATTAACGTTTTTATTTCACATTGGTTACGAGTAATTTGAACTGCCCGCTCACAAGAAACTCAAAGCTCTGCGTGAGTCAAATCGCGCACTACAACGGTTTCGGCAATCTTCTCTATCGAGCAATGTTCATTTCCCATCATGTGTTGTTCAAACTATAAGCTATTTGCTATAGCTGAGCCAAAGCGTCAAGATTGAGGTTGCCAGATTTTTATATCGCAGAGATTGTCATGATACACGTTTAGCACGCCATGTGATTCACGTAGAGCGTTGAGTTTTCATGAGCGGGTGGTTTGAATTCACGCATCAAGAATCATTAAATATATTTGTAAGGAGTTGATTTCAATAATTTCCGTTGTGCGTATCGTGTTTTACGTGAAATTTTGGTTAAGAAACATGTATCAGAATGCTGAAATTCGTACCCTGTCTAGTGGTCCATTGTAAAATATAGGTACTCTTCTCAAACCAGCAGCATTCATATTACTCTGTAATATTAGCTGTGTTTCATCTTCAACATCCTACGTCTTAGGTACACTTTTCTCATTTTCATCAGATTTATAAAGGTAAAAGGCAACCCTCTCAAAATGTTTTCTTTCCTTACAGGCGTATTTGTGTTAGGATCAATACTTTCTATGCCTGATGCTTGGAGGATCATCACGATTTGAGATTGAGAGTCAGAAAAATCAAGGCTGAAATTGAAAATCATCCTTGGTAAATCTCATTTTCATGGCTCAAATTTACTCAAACCGTTGATTCATTGCCTCATAATTTCCACACCATCATTAAAGAATGACTGCGTCTTTTGATCCTCACGACAAATCCAGGTCGGTTGGTGCTTCATTCTTTATTTCTCTCTCTCCTCTTGCTTTTAATCTCAGCTAGACCAGCTCAAAATTTAAACTTAAAAAATTTAGACTCTCTTCGATGCAAGCGGGCACAGCAATAATTTTACTCATTAAAAAAACTGCACTCTACGTAACCAAGGAGTGGAAAAAGTTCCATAGGACTGACTTACGAGGGCTGTCCCAAAAGAAACCGGACTTTTGTCATAGAAGGCGAACCGAGCGTGGTAATGAAGTTTTCTTGGGGTTGTTTGAAAGCTGATAAGCTACTGGAGATGCTTGTTTTTACAGAATGCAAAAATTCGTCTTAGTAAGGAAACTACACGCTTTGGAATAAAGGAAAGTCAAACTCGAGTTGCGATTTTTGTCTTTATTTCAAGAAAAATTTGGATACAACTTAAAAATAACCCAGGTTTTAAGTTAAAAACTTCGTTGTTCTCTTATTCAAATGCTTAAAAATAAGGAAATTAACATTTTAAGCAGCTTACCAAGTCATCACCTATCCCCTTCAAAATACTCGCCAGCTTTGTCGATGCATTTTTGCCACCGTTTCTTCAATTGAAAGAAACACTGTTGGAAATCCACAGGTTTGAATGATCGCAATTCCTTCAAGGTGTTCTCTTGAATTTCCGGAATGGTTTGAAAACGTCGACCCTTCAAGGTAGATTTAAGTCGTGGAAATAAAAAAAAAAATCACACGGAGCCAATTCCTGGTTTCTGCATCACGATAATGCACCTGCCCATGCATCCCTCCAAATTCGCGAATTTTGTGCAAAGAATGCCATGAGTGTCCTCCCTCATCCCCCTTATTCACCTGACTTGGCTCCGTGTGATTTTTTCTTATTTCCACGACTTAAATCTACCTTGAAAGGTCGACGTTTTCAAACCATTCCGGAAATTCAAGAGAACACCTTGAAGGAATTGCGATCATTCAAACCCGTGGATTTCCAACAGTGTTTCTTCAAGTTGAAGAAACGGTGGCAAAGCTGGCGAGTATTTTGAAGGGGATAGGTGATGACTTGGTAAGCTGCTTAAAATGTTAATTTCCTTATTTTTAAGCATTTGAATAAGAGAGCAACGAGGTTTTTAACTTAAAACCTGGGTTCTTTTTTAAGTTGTATCCAAATTTATCTTGATATAAAGACAAAAATCGCAACTCGAGTTTGACTTTCCTTTATTCCAAAGCGTGTAGTTTCCTTACCAAGACGAATTTTTGGATTCTGTAAAAACAAGCATCTCCAGTAGCTTATCAGCTTTCAAACAACCCCAAGAAAACTTCATTACCACGCTCGGTTCGCCTTCTAGGACAAAAGTCCGGTTTCTTTTGGGACAGCCCTCGTATTTGCTTCATGGCACCTTTCGAATTTGCTTCACGGCCATCGTCGATTCATTAGTCAAATGGCCGATTTTCTGGGAAAATATGCGATTCGTCCCACATTTTTGAAGTATGAAGCAAAAGAAAAGAAAAGAAAAAAAAAGGTTATCACTTTTAATAATTGCCTCCCAACCAAAGATTTGCGTCATCTTTGTTGCGAGCCTAGGATCGCCAAATTCGGAACTTTCTGCATCCCTGTTTATAACTACTGTGTTCTTTTTTAATCCTAAGAGTCGAGGCAAAGTTCAACTAGTCAGGAAGCAAAGTAAAAATTTTAATTTGTTGAGCAGTTTTAAGTACCTAGGGCACCTTGAAAAGAAATCTTTATTTCCTGCATTTTGTTGCGAAATTAAAAAGAAAAGAGAAAGTTTCATTCGTTAACATTCAATGGTCAACTGCGAAGAAAGCACATCTCAATATTGTAATGTCATAAAAACTCAACAAAGTTTTATTTCCCTCAATAAAAACGAATCAAAATGCTTCTTTGTAATTTTGGGTGACTTTTTAGTATGAATGGAGACAATTTTCGAAAAATTCATTCGAAAATGTAGGTTTGTTATCTTTTAGTAAAGTGAAACACAAGCAGTGACTTGCAATGTCGACATCTGATTTATAATGTTTTCTCCATTAGCCAGTGATGTGTGGTTTGTGTAGTCTGCCGCCTCAATTTAACAGATTGAATGGAGAACCACTCATGTCAATTGCTCTCAGAAGCTGTTTCTTCAAATGTAACAACTTCTGTCAAATGCTCTGAAGTCGGGAAAAAGAGTACTTTGAAACCACTTACTGCAGGATCATGAAAGTTCCAGGCTCCTACTTCTTACTGAGAACATATCATGAGGATATATAAAAATAATAATCTAAGCCATTTTCGAGTCTCCCAAGCAATCATTCCTTAAATAAAATCTTATTTACGTACCTACAATTCCAGAAACTATGCGTTTCTTGAGTTCAGTTTTTCATGATTATTAATTTTATATTTAGGTAATTACATCCTGTTATTTGAAATTTTTCTTACAGTTGGTATTTTGGACAAATGTCAAGACAAGATGCAACTGATCTTTTAATGGCGGAAAAAGAAGGGGGCGTTTTCTTAGTGAGAGATAGTGTAACAATACAAGGAGACTACGTTCTTTGCGTCAGGTGAGTCATTTTTCATGCCAAAATTGCTTTAGCTCTGCTTGAAATTTTGCTCCCCCCCCCCCCCCAATTCTTTTTTTCTACTTATAGTATTTTGTAAAAAAGAAACAAGTGCTTTCTCATTTATCATTCAGACAACAGTCTCCTATTTCAGGGAAGTTACTCTGAAGGTGCAATGTATAGAACGTCTGTGCAGCAATAGTAGCATTATCGATCGCAGGCAAAATGTAAAAGTATGTATGCACCCTCTTGTACTCAAAGCGCTGAATTGACCTGTTACAAATATGAATGCAGCGTGGAAAAAGTAACAATATTTGTTCTTTGATTTTCAAGCAAATAGCGCTGCTCTCCAGTGCATATAAGTTAAAGTTAAGATTTAAAAGACCACACAGGTCTAAAATCTCTTTGTGTATATCGTTATTGTGATTACATAAATAAAAAAAAAAAAAAAAAAAAAAAAAAGCTGCTCTCCAGTGCATACACTTCTATTCCTTTCAAATGCGTTCTGAAACCTATATCTGTGAAAATTTTTAATAAATTGAACTGAACTGAAGGTCTTTAGCTTGCAAAAGTGTATGCGGCTTCGGAGATTACTTGATCTTCAGAACAAACCTTGTTGTTGGTAAATGGGTGGTATTTTCTCTCAATCAGATGATAGATATTTTTAATCTTGCAATCAAATACGTCAGTTTTTCTGCTTGTTTTGTTTCTTTTCCTCAGGGAAGATCAGAAAGTTAGTCACTACATCATAAACAAAATGCAGCAGAATTATCAAATAAGTTACAGAATTGGAGATCAGACATTTCCAGACCTCCCTAACCTAATAGCTTTTGATAAACTTCATTACTTAGACACAGCTCCTCTTATTAGACCGGCTCCTAGACGAATAGAAACTGTGATCGCCAAGTATGACTTCGATGGCAAGGTGAGTACTATCCGTACTAAACCCAATTACTATTTTAAGCCTTTACTGTTTGATTGTGGTCGACTGATGGGCTCAGAAAGAACACCATGACACAAGTTTCACTTTAAAAAACGCATATTGATCTAAAAAGAGCCTGCAACCATCAATAGCAAAATCTTAAACAGAAAACAAGCAGTACAACGATCATGACGCCATAATGGCCGCTTCAAAAATGAGGGTTATTGTCATTTATGGCTGGTGAGCCACCAAGGCAGCACTTCCTATCTCTAAATAAAAGAAAATTCTTACTTTTCTCCCTTACTTGAAGGAAGAAAATACCATCGTAAAATCGCGCCTTACAACGGTTTCGGCACGCTTCTCAATCGAGTACTGTTCCATTCCCAACCTTTATCGTTTAAAGTGTAAATAATTTGCTATAGCTGAGCCAAAGCGTCTTGATTGAGGCTACTATATTTTCATATCGCAGACTGCCACGGTAACGTTTAGTGTGCTGTTTTACTGGTGCAGACCATTGAGTTTTCATGAGGGGGGGGGGGGTTTGAATTCATGGGTCAAGAAACATTCAATATCCCGGTTAGGGGTTAATTTCATTATAATTATCGTTGCAAAAATTGTGTGCTACGTGAAATTTTGGTTAAGAAACATGTATCAAAATGCTTACTTTTGTACCTTGCCTAGTGGTCCCTTGGGGCATTAATGAGAACAAGTAAGCCACTGGGGCATTAATACAAGCAAGCCATTAGCCATTAGAGCATTAATGAAAACAAGTAAGCCATTAGGGCATCAGTAAAAACAAGTAAGCCATTGGGGCATGAATAAAATTCGATAAGCCACGTAGGCACATTAAATAATGAGCCACAGAGGCATTAATGAACATGGAGCCTATAAAGGCATTAATGAAAATGAGCTCAAAAAATTTCATAGAATACAAGTAACTAAAGACATAAATTAATATAATAATAACATTTCTGGCGCTTTGCCGTGACCTTGAGATTCTCGACCCGATTCCGCGGCTCCCCCGTGCTCCAAGCCCCTGAAAATCCATCTGCGGGACCTCGGCGGCCGGGTCTTTGGTTCTCCCGCCAGGTTTCCCGGTCCGAACCTCCGGCGGGTTGGTGTAGCCCTCGAGGGTTTTTCGGGAAAACCGCCGCCGCACGGTGGATCGAGTCAGCGGGAGAGGTCGGACAAAATTTGAAAAGCTTATAACTCGGTTCATACAAAACTTGGAGGTTTTGAAAGTGGTTCCATTGGTTTCCTTGTTAAAATGTCTTGTTTAGGCACCCCTTAAACTTTAAAATTTGACGAATTGAACATCAAAAGTTGCAGTCTTAGTTAAACATTTCATGTGCGACCTCTCTAATTGACTCGCTCCACTGTGCGCCGTTCCCGCCCAGTTCGTCCTCTCGGCTCGGGATTAGGCACGCGGGTTCCCCCGGGCTGCCGGAGCTTAAGTTCGAACCATCTCCAACCTCGAGCCCTCCGGACGGGCGCCGCGCACTGAAAGGCCGGTTTTTCGACCCCTGCATGAAGTTTCCTATTCCATACCTTCCCGTTCGTACCCCGGTGGGCTGATAGTTGAAATTGATAGACGAAGAAGACATAGGGAGTATGGAGCAGTCCTATTGGTGGGAGTGGGTGGTTCTTTTAGACTAAGGGGAAATATGATGGACTAACTGAAGGGTCTCTTGTCGGTTGCTGTAGGTTAATCCATCACCCACCCTCTTTGTCCATCGCAACCACCCGTTTCCACCAGAAGGATCCCTTCAAATCCTTTCTGTCTTCTTTGTCTATAGCTTTGTACATAAATTTCAACAATCAGCCCGCTGGCTTCCTGTTTCACCTGCGGCTCGGCGATGTTCGACAAGGTCGGATTTCGCGATCCTTCCGTCGGGGGAGAAGGGTGGGACTGGGGCTCTTTGACGGTTTTCCGAAATATCGCTCAGGCTCTCTCCCCGTCGTGCCTATCGAGGCTACGTTTCGACCAGAAATCCTGCCCTTCGTTCCGCGTTTTCGCCGCTGAGCATCATATAAAAAAGGAAATTAAAAGTTTTTAGTGAGGAGACCTTGCCTCCCTTTTTGACGTAGTCGCCACCTCTGTTTTGACATTTCTGTTATCAATATTGCAGCTCCTTGGTGCCTTTCGCGTAGAGGCTCTTGTTTTGGCACCAAAACCAGTCATTGACAGCGCTCTGCACTTCCGAATCAGTTGCTTTGCATAAGAAAATTTTCCACATTCTCCATACTCTCTCGATTTAGCCTCATGTGACTTTCATTTGTTCCCTGAGCTGAAAAAATTTATCGGTGGAAAGCGGTCTCCGACAGATTTATAAATGCAGAGCACTGTATGTCAATGACTGGTTTCGGTGCCAAAACAAGACCCTTTACGCGGAAGGCACCAAGAAGTTGCAATATTGATAACAGAAATGTCAAAACAGAGGTGGCGACTACGTCAAAAAGTGAGGCAAGGTCTCCTCACTAAAAACTTTCAATTTCCTTTTTGATATAATGCTCAGCGGCGAAAATCCGAGTCTGAAATAATCGACTCTTCGCTGATCCGGACTCCAGAGGTGGGCACGGGGCAACAGGAGGTTGTCGCAGTAAAAGTGAGTTTCCTCGCGAACCCCTCAACCGATTGTCAAAAACTTGGGCTTGCTTTAAAGCTTGGATTATGCCTGATAATGCCTTTTTATCGATTTGACTTTTCTCTTTTCGTTCGGATGATACAAGGTAAGGAACCTTACTTTTTGGATGACCCTCGTAATTCGATACAAGAATATTTAAGGGTTCAGCTCACTACCTGAGTATATTTTCTTTCTTTACACCAGTTCACGCATGGATGTTTAGATAACCTGCAATCCATGACTCCCTCTATTACTTACTTTGCTCCATACCCTCTATTTTTTGAGAATATAAAATTTTCTACAAAAGTTGTGTGAGTCAATCCTCTGCAACCCAACTTATATTTTAAGAGAGTTATTCAAACAGGTTCAAACTGAGTTTCAGATCTGTGTTCAAGCTCCCGGTGTGGAAATATTGAGCTGTTAAAATGTTTTCAAGTACCTATGGTGTTTTACTTACTGTACGTGATCATCTCATCAGTTCAGCTTCGCGCGCCGTCGAGGAAGTATCTCGCGATTGGATCTCGTGATCACGTAATTGATTACGTGATTAGGCTCATTGCGGTCGTGTTTTTTCTCGCGTGATTTTTTAATTGGCGATTTTTTATTGGTTTAGTCGTGTTTTTTTTTTGTTTCGGTTCTTTTTGTGATGGTTGTATTGTAGTGGAAGTGATATTAGTGTGATTTAGTGTGATCTACGTGTGAAGCGTGTGGTTGGACTAACGAAGTGAACTAACGATAGCGTGGTAGAGGTTAGAGTGAATCTATTTAGTATGGCGAGTGCTATGAGAAAAAAGATAGGTGATCTAGGGAAGAGTAAGGTGGATAGCCCAGTGGGGGATGGGGGAAAGAAAAAAATGGGGGATAGTCCGGCGATTGTAAGTGAGGGAAAAAAACTGAGGTCTGGTAGTGTAAGAAGCGAGGTGGGTGTAGGCTCGGGGACACCTAAGGTAAGGTTGCCACCAAGGAGTAGAAGTGAGGAGAGGTTGATTGGGGATAAAAGAAAGGGAGTGCCAAAAGTAAAAAAGTTGAAGCTAAAAATGGGTGAGGAAATCATTAGGCAAGAGAAGGTAATCGAGAACAAAGGTGGAGTTGTGAAGATAATGGGAGGCGAGGAAAATGAGATAAGTAGTGGGAAGCAAGAGATTGTAACGAGTGATGGGAATAGAGACAATATGCAGGATTTGGAGAGGACACTAACGGATTGCACGCTAGAGGATAATTTGGAGGATGAGTTATTGAGTACGAGGTTGGAGAATATGGAGATTGGTAATAATAGTGTGGGGACATGTTGTGAATGCGGGGGTGAAGTGAAGGAGAATGAGAAGGCTATTCGGTGTGACGGTGTGGAATGTAGCTGGGGGCTACACCACATTAAATGTATAGGAATGGGGGAGACTGAATTGGAGGTTCTAAATAAATATGTGAGGAATATAATGTGGTTCTGCGATAGGTGTGCTGAGGAGAGTAATAGGGCTATGGGGGATATGGTAATGATAAATGATGAGATGAAAATTGAGAAGGAAAAGATGAGAGTGGAATTGGACAGAGCATACGAAAAATTAAGGGCTGCGGAAATTAAGGGTGATGAAATAAGGAATAAAATGTTGAAGTTGTGCGCTGAGGCGAGGGAGGGTGATACGGTAGAAGAGGTCAGAATGCGTATCTATGAGCAAGTCAGGGGAGAAAAGGAAAGGATGGAAAAAAGGGTGGAAGTTAAGGATAAAGTTAGTGTAAGAAACAAGGTAATTTGGGTGTTGGGTGATGAATATACGATGAGATTGGGGGAAAGATTACAGAATGAGTTGTTCAGGGATGGGGTTAGGATTGTAATTGAGACGAAAGGTAAGGATAAAATGGACGAGTGGGCGAAATATTGGCATGAGAATAGAAGTGAATTAGAAGCAGGGGATGTGATCATATTTGCGGCAGGTAGGGGTGATGTTTTTGCAAATGAGGGACAGAGGGTTATTGACGGTATTGGGGATTGGGGGTGTGAAGCGGAAAAAATGGGGGTGCTTTTTTACTACGTCGGTATAACCCACAGACATGATCTCTGGGTTAACAGTTGCCTAAATAAAGAAATAGACAGGGTCAATAGAGAGTTAGCAAAAAATTTTGTCAGGAATAAGGGGGAGTACATAAATTTGAATTACTTAACGTCTGATGATTTTAAAATCACTAAGGGCNAGAGGGTTATTGACGGTATTGGGGATTGGGGGTGTGAAGCGGAAAAAATGGGGGTGCTTTTTTACTACGTCGGTATAACCCACAGACATGATCTCTGGGTTAACAGTTGCCTAAATAAAGAAATAGACAGGGTCAATAGAGAGTTAGCAAAAAATTTTGTCAGGAATAAGGGGGAGTACATAAATTTGAATTACTTAACGTCTGATGATTTTAAAATCACTATAAAAGGGACTACTGTACACTGAATGGGAGGGGTACCGACCAAGTGGTGGGTGCTCTTTACAATCAGCTTGCGATGGATAGGGTGATCAAGAGAAAGAATTTTGGGTAGATCAGAGACAAAAACGAAATAGTGTTGGCTGGGGGAAAAATTTTGGTAGGGTTTTCATGGCAGGGAGAATAAAAGGGAGTGAGAACATAAAGTGGGGGAAAAATAAGGGTCGCACATCTACTATTATTCTGGAAGGTAACGTGAATAAGGTCGACAGAAGCATAGGGCAGGGAATGAGCAAAAAAGGTAAAACAAATAAAGTGGGGATCAAGCAAGGGACTAGGACAGAGAGGGGGGAGATCAAGGGTATGTCAGTAAAAAAATTTGAAGGGAGAGAGGGTAAAAAAAATAACATAATAATAGGGCAGAGGGGGGAAGTGAGGGAAGCGGGCAGAGACAAGGGGGACGCTATGCTAGGGGAGGTCAGTATCAAATGTATAAATGTGGGGGGACTGTATGAGAAGCTGGATGAAATTAAAAAAATAATTGAAGGTAAAAAAATAGATGTATTAGGCGTAGTGGAGACGCATATCACAGATAGGACTGGAGATGGGGAGTTAAGATTAGAAGGGTATAATATGTTCAGATGTGATTCTCACAGCTCACATACAGGGGGAGTGATATTGTATGTAAACAATAATTTGGAAGTATTAAAAGAAGAGGTGGTGAGAAATAGTGAATGGTGGGCAATTAATATTAAAGTAAAAATTGGGGATAAATATTTAAACATTGGGGGAATATATAGGTCGCCATCGTGTAGTGAAAAAAGGTTCATTGAGTGGTTTGAGGGGTGGGTAGGAAAGGAGATTGAAGCAGGGGGGATTGGTATAACAATGGGGGACTTTAATATAAGATGGGAGAAACAGGAAAATTGGGATACAAAATTATTAAAACAGGTAGAAATGAATTGGGGGATGACTCAGAGGGTAAATGAGTATACGCGAATCACTGATAAATGCAAATCAATTATTGACTTGGCATTTGAATGGGGGAAAGATAGGATTATGGAGAAATGCTGGGTGGAGCATACACCCAAGATTAGAGATCATAGCTGGGTGAATGTGACAGTTAAAGGTAAAGTGAAGGAGGTAAACAGAATAAGATACAAAATAAAAATAAGAAGAATGGAGGAAAAAAGGGTAGATGAAATTAAAGATGTTAGAAATGAAGGGGAAACCTTGGATGAATTTTATATAAAATTTGAGAATAAATTGAGGGAATTGGGGACGGTGGAATGTAAGACGGTGGTAAAAAGAAGGGTTAGATGGTGGAATGCAGAACTGGGGACTCTTAGGAAAGTGAGGGATGAAAAGTATCGACAGTATGTGAGCAAAAGAAGGGATGAGGACTGGGTAGAGTACAAGAGAGCTCGAAACAAATTTGTAAGGGAAGCGAGAAGATTTAAGAAAGAATTTGTTTGTAAAATATTAAGAGAAAACAGAAGGGATGGGAAAAAAACTTGGAAAATCTTAAATGACTTAATTGGAGGTAAGAAAACGGAGGGGATGAAAAACGAGGTAATAAGGGTTGGTGATAAGAAATTTGTGGGAATTGAAGGTGCGAATGAGATTAATAAATACCTGGTAGAAAGTGTTATGGAGTTAAACGAAACAATTAAATGTAACAAAGAGTGGGTGATGTATGGGGTAGAAAGGGGAAGGGAAACCTACAAAGAGTTAGCAGAGTTTAGGGAGGTAACAGTTAATATGGTGGAAGAAGTAATTGGTAAATTAAAGAACAGTGTTGGGGATTTTCGAGTGTGCTCTACTATAATAAAAAGGTACAGGGAAAAAATGGGGGGAATAATAACAGAGATAGTAAACCAGGCATTGAGGGGAGGGAACATTCCTGAGGTACTTAAGAAAGCGGTAGTAACACCGATACCTAAGGTAAAAAATACTAGGAAAGTTGAAGAAATGCGTCCGATAAATTCATTACCAGTTGTGGAAAAAATTATAGAGGGGGTGGTATTCAAGGAAATAGTTGAACATTTTGAAAATAACAAAATATTTATTGAAGAGCAAAGAGGATTTAGGAAGGGAAGGGGGGCAGAGGAATTGATACAGATGTTATTCAAAGAGTGGAGGGAGGGTGAAAACAAAGGCAAAATCATTGTTGGTGTTTTTCTTGATTTAAAGAGGGCATTTGAAACAGTGGATAGGGAAATATTACTAAAAAAGCTGGAGTTAAACGGGGTGAAGGGTAAAGCATTGGAATGGTTTAAGGGCTACCTTAGGAATAGGAAACAGGTGGTGAATTGGAGTGAGGTATTATCGGACGAATTGTGTGTCGAGCTAGGTGTACCGCAAGGGAGTAGATTGGGGCCGGTGCTGTTTTTAATATATATTAATGATATAAAAAAGGTGCTGGGTGTATGTAAGCTTAGAATGTTTGCAGATGACACATTGATTTACATGATAGGCAAAGAAGTAGCGGAAGTACAAGTAAAACTGTCTGAGGAACTGAATAGAGTAGATGAATGGTTAAGAATAAATAAATTAAAGCTCAATATAGAAAAATCCAAATTCGTTGTATTTAGTTCGAAAGAAGAGTATAGGAACTTAGAGGTGAGGATAAAAATTGGGGAGGAGATATTAGGGAGAGTAAGGGAATATAAATACTTGGGGGTGATGGTTACTGAGGACTTGAGATGGGACAGGCAAATAGAAATAATAGTGAGTGAATATAGAAGGAGAGTAAGTTTGCTTTGGAGGATGAAAAATGTGTTGACAATAGAGGGGAAGAAATTGATGTACCATGCAGTAGTGGGGGCGATATTAAATCACTGTACAACTGTACTCTTTGAAGCTGGGAAGGGAGTGATTGAAAGGTTACAAGTGGGGCAAAATAATGCAATGAGATATATTTTAAAAAGGGGTAGAGAAGAGAACATTGGAGGAATGTTAAATGAGTTGGAGTGGTTGTGTATAGAACTGTTCATCAAATACAGAGCCTTTGTATTTATTTACAAAATTAAGAAGGGTTATATTAAAGGCGTAGATGAGGAATTAAAAAAGCTAATGTGGGGTAATAATTCAAAAGGGACTAGACATGGAGGTGAAGTCTGGGCATATCATGAAAAGGGTAATGTGGATAAGATGGTTTTCTATAAAGGGGTAAGGGAATATAATAAATTTAAATGTTATAAGTTGGAAGAATTGGGTCTGAAGGCATTTAAAAGGAACTTGTTGTTTAAAATGAGGATATATCAGAACGAAAATTGGGGTGATGGGAGATTGGTGAGGGAAGTCGACAGAGTGGGTTTATGAATTGGGGAATGAATGGTGTGTGAAGCCGAATGGGATTAGCCTTCCAGGCTATTTGAAGAAAAAAAAAAAAAAAAAAAAAAAAAAAATCTCAAGATCTTTTGCGACTCTCGAAATTCGAAATTAAATAAAAAATGCAATGCATATTTTGAGATTTCTGGGCTTTGAGAACTTGTTCACCAGATAGGCCCATTCAATGAATATACCTAAATGAATCAGCGGAATGTAAACTGGCCATTAAGTTTTAGCTCCCAATTTAATAAAAATAGTTTTCCCCTTACTCTTTAAGTAACATGACCCAAGAATGAAGGTATAATCTATCATTCTCGTGGTAATTTATAATTGAGTTTAGCAGTCCTATCGACAAAGATGTCCTAAGAACCTGCTTGAACAGAATTTAGAGTATTTCTTTCTCCACCTCATGCCACTATTTGTCGGCCTCCTAGGGTGTAGCGGTTGTAGCGCTTGCTCTATAATCGGGAGGTCCCGGGTTCGATTCCCGGCCAGGCGACCCGAGTTTGATGGTCTCAAACAATGGTTGCCTGGGACTGGTTCAGTAGGGACGGAGGGGGATGGGACTTAAAAAGCGTGGGATTAGGCCTTGTGGGCTATTTGAAGTAGTAAAAAAAAAAAAAAAAAAAAAAAAAAAAACTAAATTTATCCAGATGTCCTCGCCGCCCTCTTCTGAGAGGAACCTCATCAGTTATTACAATCGAACATACTTAACTCCAATTGACCAAATCGAACCTAATTGAATATTAACCTATTCAAACCTAATCGAACATACTATTTAACCTAATCTAACTTTCCCTTTATTTTCATTCCTTATATTTTTATTGTTGCAGGATGAAGACAACTTACCTTTCAGGAAAGGAGATATTCTGACTATAGTTGCCAAAGATGAAGAACAATGGGGGACAGCAAAAAATTGCCTGGGACAAACTGGTTCCATTCCTGTATCATACGTACATAGGGTAAGCACCAATAACTGGTCGTGTCTGTTCATCTGTGATGATTATCTACTTCCACCTTATGTGTTCCGTGTGAATCACTCTTTGTGAAAGGAGGAATATCGTTATGGGCCTTTTCCGGCCGCATGTGGGTATTCCTAAATGTCTCATATTTTCAAAGTACTAGTCTTCGGTAGACTCTGTGCCAAATATTTCACCGAACGTTCAACCATACCTACCATGCGATTATGCGTTCTCCAGAGAAACTCTAGGGAACACTGCTTTCAGCTGCGACCTTGAACATCGCTCACTGAATAGCTGCTCGAGATTGAGCAGAAAAAACAAGAAAAAATTGGAGAAATGTACTTGTCCTAAACATGATTCGTCTCACCCGTGATAGGTTGAGATTATAAATATTAATTATGCAGCTCTGAGCCAAATGCGGACAGGTTCATGAGGGAAGGTTCCTGCCATGACGGACGATGTGGCCATCAGCATATAATTTCCATTTGAAATGTCTTAAACCAGGAATATTAGTCTTCACGATTTAGGAGGAAAAGATCTGACTTAATCCGTGCCAACCCGGATCTTTGGAAATTCAGGTTAAAGGAGTGAAAGCTTAGTGCAATTGCGAAAGCCTATCTAGGCCACCCTAACGCTGACCCAGAATAAATTCAAGAAATTAGGTTCCCACTCGAATGTTCTCGCTGTAGAATGATGTCATGGATAACCATACTCTAAAATTAGCTTACTAAACTAAAGAGGAAAAGTTATAAATTACCTTTGGATTCTGAAAAGGATCAGTGAGGAGGAAACAAAACAGCCTGGGGTGACGAGGTTTGAATCCCGTCTTTGTTGCTTCTTAATGAGGCGAACGATGAGCGCTGCACTGAAAAAAGAGTAACTTTGTGATAAACTTTTTTTTCCGTTTGGAACTAACAAATTTTTACCAAATATATACTTAATCAAAATAAACCAGCGCGGGACACTTCCTGTCAAGGCGGATAAAGATAAAGATTGGTGGTCAAGGCCAGGCGGATAAAGAATGGTGGTCGCATTTCGTACCCTCTGGACGTCACACGGTATTGGGTACATGGGCCGGCCGAGGCTGGGGGAGCCGGGTCAACCTCGAATTGCATGGCAAAAACCGTACCCTCTTGACGTCACAGCGCTTCAAGATGGCAGCCAAAATCGAAATGCGACCACCATTTCGAAACCGGGGTTTCACGAAACCCGAGTTTGTAATGCAAGTTTCCTCCGTCGGGTTTATGCGGGCGCTGTAACCCGACTTTCGCGGGAAATCAAACTTTCCGATTTTGGCGCTGTTTATGCGCATATTTTCGATTGAACTTGAATTTCATGTTGGCGCCATTTTCACAAGCTATACTTCATTTTTCCACTATGAATTGATTCAATAAATTATTAGGTATTACTCTTTTATCCTGTGTATGTTCAATTTTTCCACAATATATAAGCGGAGGCTTCATCTTCACTAGAAAAGCCTTTACTGACTTTCTGAGCAACAGTTGGAAAAATGACAGTAGATGTTTAATCATTTTACGTTCATCTTTAAAATTGAATGAATACCTAATCTCAACAACCCTCCAAATCATGCTCGAGCTTATATTCTGAGTTCAGAAAAGTTGCCATAGGTAATTTTAGTGATGTTAAAAATAATTGTGGCAGGCGCAGAAATTCATCATATTGTGTATTGAGCTTCTAATGATCTTACAATAGGTAGATATAGGCATTGAAAGTGTAGGAGTGCTAATCCAGTAAAGCACCGCACCTTCACTCCATGCTGTTGTAAAGATTGTATGTCTGCCATTATTGTAGTGAAACAAATAAAGAATCGGGATATACTTATGGGAATTCCTCCTTCAAGATATGATCAAAATAAGCAGATATTGATAGGTCAACAATGTATCGCTGAAGCAGAAGCGTCTAAATCCTCTTGAGGCAAAGGACGGTGACAATCTCAACAAACTGGTGACGCTTCACAAATTTTGAATTTCCACATTCCCAGAGACACGCGCTGAAATCCTGTTTCTCACCCCTCTTTCCGACTGCTCTCCGAGTCCATGAGCAAGACAGGAAGAAAATAAGCAAGCTACCTACCACTGTTTGCCTACCTATGTGTGTTTTTCTTAAACTTGATTTTCAAAGGTGACTCATGTAAAGAGCAACTGAAAAACAAGATTTCAGAACCTGCCATTGCATTTCACTAACCTAAGACACCAACCCAACCTTACCATTGATATTCTTTCGCTTACACTGTATATTATTCTCCCACTGAGATTCGATATGAACTCAATTCAAAAATCCTTCTGAATTTAATTATTCGGGTAGATTGGAATCTGGAGCTCTCAGTCTATCTGTGAAGCGCATTTACTAACATTCACTGCTGTCACAAGATATTTTTGCACAGGCAGAGCCACTTTCCACAGTTGATGCATCTCTAACGCCAAAGCTCAATTATGACAAGTGGTTCAACAACCAAAAATTGTTACACGCCTCAATAATAACCTTATTCTTATCTCAAATTGAAAATCTTGGATCACAGAGCACTCACCGAAGAATCTCCTTCCTTCTGCATCAGTATGAGAAGAGTGACGATACTTTGGAGCAATAACTTTGAACTAGTTTCAATAAATGATGGCTTCAGAATTTGAGTCATCATTTACTAGAGATTGGATCAAAGAAATAAGTCAGCAGGTCACGGTTGTGGCTGGAGTCACACTTCCAGTAGGACAATCAGGAAATACGTACACGGATAACACACAAATTCAAGAGCTATGCGGCTCTGATTGGATCCGATTTTAGATTTAATCGGTAGATTGAAATGAAAAAATTCGGTGCACTACTTAAAGGGAAGCAGGGTGCCTTATCTTGAAATCCTAGGCAAATCGTGCGGATGGAGTAAAAAAGTTCTCCGCAGATGATGAACTGGTGGGTAAGGCTATTACTCAATTGTAGCCTGTAAAGCTCTTCGCTTGCTTTGCTTCTGTAGTCATAAAATGTTGATTAGAGTTGCAAGAAGAATCTGAAAAAGCAGTAATAAGCCTGGAGTCCATCTGACACTAAACACCTTCACTAGAAAATAACGTCCTACGTTTAGCTAAATAAGGATAAGTAAGCCACATATAACTGAAGGAATCACGTAAAAGTGCTTAAGCAACAATTATAGTAAAATTATGATTGTAAAAAATGTTGAATAATGGCAAAATTAAAGCTAAATCGTGGGATAAGCACCAGTTGTTTACGAACGGTATGATGATAAATCCGCCATATTGCCGATCGCGCACCTGAAAATCGCATTTGAAGTCGAATTTCAACTAATTTCAAGCTCCGGTTCGTTTATGCGGAGTGCGAAAACCTAGTCTTTAGTGTAAAATAAGGTTTCAAACACAAATTTCGGAAACCTACATTTCGTTAGTTCCGTATCGTTTATGCCGTGATTTGAACCAGGGACCAGTTCTATAGGACCCTGGACTCCCGTAAGAGTCAATGTAAAAATTCGTGAGCAGGTACTAGTGCTGCATTCTCGCGTAGGATCCTCGCAACTCACTGCTGTTATCAGTTGTTGGACTTCATTAAAATCCGTAGTATCGCGTATAACTGCAAAAAATCGAATTTTTCACCGTAATAATACATGCGGCGGGCTTCTTCCTTGTCGAAAGGGGTCGAAAAACGCCAAAAATATTCTTATTTTTCAAGAATTCAGCCGCCTTATGTGTTATTTTTCGATCTCCGGCTTAAGGTGGATCTTCAGAAAAATGTTCGGCGTTCTGCCACCACGTCGCG